TAGAATTTCAACTAATTTAATTATTTATATTGTTTTAAAGAAAGTAAAATCATAATTTTGATTTATTTGAATTAAACTATAATTTCTAATTTTTGCCAAATATTAGCTAAGAGCCCAAGACAATAAGAAAAAACATATATCATTCTATCATGATTTAATTAGATTTGATGCGTGCTAGATAATTCGTGGCGGTAGAGTAATGGATTATGGTATTAACTTTTTACGAGAATTCAACACACACAAATAAAAAGATAAGTAAGTAGGAGAAGACACCTCGACTTTTTACGTGAAAAACTCTTGAAAGAGAGAAAAATCATGGGGACTAGCTCAATTGAAATAATCCACTATGAATGATGAGTACACATGTCTATTATTCTCCTAAATTAGGGAAGATGAAATTACAAAGTTGTATAACTATAATTTGGCTACAGTTCTTTGTGACAGCAGATTGCAAGAGTCATTGTTGATTGTTGTAGAAGTAGTTGTCCGTCGTGAGTGTTGTAGATGGTTGCTCTATAAGCGTTGATTGACCAGAGAAACCGTAGTAAGCAGTTATGGGAGTTGTGGATCGCATAGGTTGTACTACAAGTACGAAAGACGTTTGTAGGCTGCAGGGGCTGGAGTAGGGAGTTGCACAAGCTGCGAACCATGTAAGTAGTAGGGGAAAGTATGAATGAAGTTCGTATGCTACGGACGTCAGAGTCTGGAGCTGCACCAGCTGATAACCACGTAGGTCATTGTTGACACATGAACCGTAGTGATGAGCTCTTGTCCCGCAGTGTTGACTAACGACGTCTGGTTGGTGGTGATCGACAATGATTGGTTAGCGGTGGTCGACGACGGTTGGCGGAAGTCAACGGAGGTGGGTGATGATCGACGATGGTCGACGACGGTAGGCGGTGGTCGACGGAGGTTGGCGGGGTTAACAACAATTGACGTAGTCGATGGTGGTCAGTGGTTGATGATGATTGGTGTTTGTCGATGGAAGTTGGAGGTGGCCGACGAAAGTCGGCGGAGGTCGACAAGGGTCAGCGATGGTTGACGACGGTCGGCGGTGTTGCTGAGCTGCAACTTCTCCTCAAAGCCTCTGCTCTCTCTCTAGGCTTAAACCCCCA